AATATTAGTATCACCACAACAATTATATGAAAAATAGGAACACCATGAAATCTAGAAGAAAGATGCAAAGCAAAGGTGATAGCTAGTAAATAGGGCATGCACTGAAAAGCGAAATAGTAAGCCACAACATTGCCACTAGCTATCTTAGCCAAAAACCCTACATGGCTAGTCCCACAATGGTACGAAGTAAGGCACGACTCAACTGCCTCNTCCTCGGAAATCTGAAGCATCGCCATATCCTGCCTGATCACCTCTCCCCAATACTTCTTAGGCCGCCCTCTACCTCTTCTCGTGCCCTCCGTAACCAGCTGCTCACACCTCTGTACCGGAGCATCTGGGCTTCTCCTCTGAACATGTCCGAACCATCTAAGCCTCGCTTCCCGCATCTTGTCATCAATGGGAGCCACATTCACCTTCTCCCGAATATCATCATTCCTAATCTTATCCATCCTAGTATGCTCGCACATCCACCGCAACATCCTCATTTCTGCTACTTTCATCTTCTGGATATGTGAGTTCTTAACGGGCCAACACTCAGCCCCATACGTTCTTAATCATGTTTAATGAAATATGTTTAATGAAAATTAAAAAATCAAAGCTCATTGATTTATCAGTGACACCATATCCATTAATTTAATAAATAAAATATCCACATTTAACAAAATGACACATCAGATTAATACTTTCAATTAAATAATATTAACATATAAAGCTTTAAAAAACTTAATATTAAACACAAATATCTTTAAAACTTCTTTTAAAATTTTTGTTGACTATAAAAAACTATCATTTGTTAAACAAATTTGTTTTTATTATTTTAAAGTAAAAATTAAATACTTTTTTTATCATTTTTTATATTTAAAATATGTTTATGTTTAAATACGATTAGACAAATTGAGTGCCATGAAAAAATTAAATGTATGAATATATTATAAAAATAATAAATAAAATAATTTAAAATTATTTTAATTATAAGTAAAATATTAAAAATATATTATATAATATACAATGACATAATAGACTTTTCAAGTAAAAGTATTATAAAATCTGGATAAAGTGACTTTTATGATAAATAAAGCAAAGTAAAATAATTTTTGTGTAACAAAAGAAAAAAGAATAACACAAAGTTAAATAATTTTTACGTTAAAATTTATTATTTTTAGTGTTAAGAATTGTTTGTGAAAAGGACACCATAGTTCATACTCCTAGTTCTTTTCATCAATGAGTCAACGGACTCTTTGCTCTTGTTGATAGTGAGAAACTTGAATCATCTAATTGGTAGTAGTGTAATAGAATGACTTTTTAGATCTCCTAAACAGTAAAGACAACGAAAGGACATTATTACATGCGCAAAGAGGCAGCTAGTCTTTGGTCAAAATTTTGATGCAGCAATATCCTTATCTCTTTGCTGATTTCAGACTGCCGTATAGGAGTCATGCCTTCGCTAGTAGGCTCATCGTATTTTAAAGTCCACATTTAAGTGATTTTTAAACGAGTCCAGTTTATCATAAAATTACTGCATTTAGGCTCGAAATTTGGGAGGGGGGAGGGAATTACTTTGATTTCACATAAAAAGGAATGGCACTAGAACTACAAATTGTGGATAGATTTCCAATAGATACAACCATGATTCCCCATGGACAATCTTCTCATCAACAGCAAAGTCGAGACAACCAAATAAATTGTCTGCCCCCTAAAATTGGCATGGAAGACAAAAACGTACCCCAAAAAAAAGGGAGAAGAAAGCTTAGAGCCAGTTCATATTGAGCCTTCGTCATTCGGAATCGCTCTCTACGCTGCCCATGGCTTTCAACCCTCTTGGTCTCTGCACCAAAACCACCATATAAATAAACCAATACCAATAAACATACACACACACAAAAAAAAAAAAAAAAAATTGTTTTAACAAAATGAAGGGAAAAGTTTTTTTTTTTAAACGTCAATAAAAGAGGTAAAAGAGCACCGAAAAGAAAAGAGGAAAAACTGAGGCAAACCCCAAAACACACAAAAAAGAAGAAGATAAAGCAAAAGTGAAGAAAATAAGAAGTCCTACTTTGGTACCTTTTTGGAAGTCTTCTTCTCTCTGACTTCATACCTCTCTAAAGACATATCCGACAACCATGCTCCCGGACTCACCAACTGTTCCATTTTCCGGCGCCGGCGCCGACGATGAAACAATAAGATTCAGTCTTTACCCAACCCATATAATAAAGGGAAAAAAAGAATCTCATAAAGAAGGGGACTTACAAGTAAAGTTCTTTGAATAAGTTTAGCCCTCTTCTTAGGTCTTTGAGGAAGTTTACAACCTTTCATAGCCATGAAATCTTCTTCTTTCTCTTTGCTTGACAAACTTATATACAACTTTGGCCAAACTATGTTATTCTCGCCGCCACTTACTGCAGCGCTATCCACCAGAATTTTGCCGTTCTCCTCCGCTGACCCTCTTGTTGTGTAACACCTTTCCTCTTTCTCCGGTGAAGAAGATTTTCTTGCCTCCGATCTAAGCATCGCCGATTCTGAATTCCTGTTACCAAAACACAATCCCAAAAAGTTATTAAGGAAAATGAACGAAAAATTTTGCAGACCTCCGCTTAAAGTTTTTTATTTTCCTATTTGGGATCTAAAAAAGAAGGAAACTTTCCTTAATTCCGCACTGACCATTTTTCAGCAAGATTTTGAAAATTCCTCGGGACCCAAATAAGGAAAGAAAAATATTGAAAATGTTTGTACTACGCGCTTTCTCTCCGGAGAGTTTTTTTTCAGTAAAATGTGAAGGAAACAGGAAATTTTCCAGATTGGGATAGAAAAAAGTTGCAAAAACTGTGCAGATTTCCCAATTTACTGAAAATTTTTCACCAAATATTTATATCTTTTTGGGTAACCAAAAGGAAAAAATGAGGAGAGAAGATAGATTTTCTTTCCAGTTTCTCGAAAATTTTCAGAAAATTTACGAACTTGAAGAAGAAAATTTTCCAGATATTTAAAATTGAGTTCCCAATTGGTATAGATACAAAAAAGAAACATTTCTGTATTTCCCAGTTGACAAAATTTTGGCACCAACAGTTTCCATTTTCTCCGGTACCCAAAAGTGAAAAAAAACGATTTCCCTTCCCTTCTCTCTGTTTCCAGATTTTCTCAGAGAGAATTGACAAACCTGGTAAGACGAAGAGGGGTAAGAGGGAAAAGGGTGTCTTTAGTTGTGGCGAAATGAGATGATGATATTTTGCGGCGAAATCTGCAAGGTTGGGGTCCTCTGACTCTCACACATCGGAGTCTCTTTCTACTTCCCCACTGCAAACAGAATACTTCTGTTTCCTCATTCTTCTCTTCCTTCTCCATCCTCCCTTTCAAAAAAACATTATTTAGACTTTCTTCAGATACAAAAAGTAAACGGGAAGAGATACAGAACAAACATCTAGTTACCTCAAGATCTCTGTTTGATACAGGAAATCCTCCGCCAAATCCTTGAAAATACAAACCACAAAATGAGGTTTTGAGGGCTGAAATAAAAGAGAATTGGAGGGGGGGGGGGGGGGGGGGTTGAACATGGTATAAGATAAGAAAAAGATGAAAACAAATATACCTCAAATTTGCAGATTTTTCATCAGAAATAAAATCTGAAAATGGGTTTCCCCAACAAGTGAAACTTTTTTATGAAAATCAGAAAATTCCAGCACCAAATTCTTCTCTTTCTTGGTCTATATGGCTATCAAGTTCGGATCAGTTCTTGAGTTTGAACAAGTGTTTTTTCCTGAGACTGTTTCTTTCTAAGAAAAAACTCTGTCTTTGAGTATGATGAAATTGGAAAGGGTGGAGTGGGTGGGGGTTTCTTCTTTTTCCTCATCTTCTCTCTGCTCTATCTCCATTTATATATACTCCAAAGAGCGCACTCGCAGCAGATTGCATTTTAGCCGTATGATTCTCTAGCGGACGGCTTTGATTCAGTTTTAACTGTGGAAACCCTCCAGGCCCATATAGATATAGGCCTAAACAGAATCAAACCACATCAAAAGCCCATTCTTTTTGGTTGAAAAAGGATTTTTACGCAAATAACTAGTCGAATTCACCATTTACCTTTCATAGCTAGTATATATAGATAATAAGACATTGATCATATATAAATATATATATAATTTACATAAATTATATATCTATACTAGTCTTAAGGTACGCGCTTTACATGTGTACCCATATTAATTGATACATAGTTTTATAAAATTAAATAAAATATATTAAAAAATATGTTTGAGTTATAAAATAAAAACTTTAAAAAGTATAAGCTTGAAAATAATGAATCACATTTAGCTAGCACTATAACGAATAAAATCATGTCCTACAAAAGTTCTTAGAAGTTATACGGTGATTCTCACTACTTCCGTGGGAATATCTTATAAAAATTATAAGTATTTCTATGAGAAAAGTAAAAAGTCACAAAAAAAAATTATCACAATTTTTCAAAGATTTATCAAATAACACAAATTAAAATATTTTTTCTTGGTCTTTTAGTGATTCGAGAATATAGTATTGACTATATAAGATTTAAAAATGACTAATATTATTGAGTTAATAGTTTAAGATAAATAAATTAATATGTAAAAAAATATAGGAAAATGTCATTGGAATATATGCAACAACAATAATAACAATATACACAGTGTAATTCTGTATAGTGGACGATAATGAAATGTATGCAGAAAAGGAAAAAAATAAATAACAATTAATATGTCATCTTCCAATGTTTCATCCTTACTGCTTCAAGTCTCGCTCTTTTGTCTAGTTTCTTTTACCGCCATATTATTCTTATCAACATAAATTTATGTAGTTTATGAGTTTTGTCAACTTGAAAATATTTTTACTTAGTTGATGAATTTGGAGTATAATTGAATTGAGTTTTTTGCTAATAATTAATAAATAATTAATTTAAGAATTTAATTATTTATTCTCAACATTAAAAGAACCAATTTAATTTTTTGTTGATTCATTTTTAATAGTTAATATTAACTCCTCCCAAGTGTAAAATATTTTTCTATAACATGGAAAAAATAAAATTACATTACTCAAATAAAAATTAAAATTTTAATGGATTTTAAATTACCAAATGTTACGTTGCTCATATATGTGGCTAAAGTGAACTTTTTTATAAATTTGCAGCGATGGTGTTTGGATATTTTCCAAACATGATAAAGGATATTCCCAACTGACATAGGACATGGTTGAAGAATTTGTATATAGTAGTAATGACATTAAGCTAGCGATTATTGTTGAACTGACATGCACCACTTCTGCTTTTATGTTATCTAAGGATTTATCTTGTTCAAAAAAATTAAAATAGTTATTAAATTAGACAAAAAAATAGAAAACGAATAAAACTATGTACTACATATGTTGTACAACGTGCAATATCAATGACAATTTGTTGAACGAAAGTGATGAAATGGTAGCATGGATCGTAATACGAATTAATTTCTAGCAAATTACCTTGGCTTCACTCATTGAAATGTGAAAAAACGATGCCAACGAAAACAGGTCTCCTTCATATAATGGGTTTTCTACTTTGCAAGATAACTTAGAGCCCGTGTGGACATAAGAAATTTTTCTTTTTTTTTCAAAAATTTTTTATTTTTTTTCTAAATCAGCGTTTGTTCATAAAATTTTCAATTTTCATTTGAAGATGCATTTTGAAAATTTTCGAAAATTTTAAATACTCCAAAAAACTATTTTTCAAAATTTTCACTCAAATCACTCACAAAACTTCAAAAATAACCCAAAATTATATTTATGTCCAAACATAACCCTAAATTTCAAATACCATTTTCACTTGAAAATTTTTTTCCCCTATTTTAAAATTTTACAATTCTTATGTCCAAACGTCTACTTAGTATGAATAGGAGACCTTGACTTGCATAAAAAGTAATTAACTTCATTATATAAAACTTAACATAAAGGTATAGATGAATATAAGGAAACAATAAAGTTGTCATAAGTTAAAGGTACAATGTAGTTGCAAATTAGGAATCCTACATATTTAAATAAAAAAGATTTAATAACCAAAATTTAGCGTAGCTATAGAAATCAAATAAAGTTTCATTGTTCATAGCCGTCTACTATCAAATTTACACATAAAACAAAAAAAAATGCATTTATAAGAACTCAAATTTAACTGTACAATATATTGTCAAATTAAATATGTATACAACAGATTTAATAAGAATATATAATAAAATCAAGAAACATTGCAGTAAGAGATTCACATTTATACCAAATCAAGTGAGAAATTTTATTAGAAAAGAAAATTAAATAAAAAGTTATTTATTGTTCATTTAATATGAATCTGATTTGAATTTCACATTAGTTCACATTAGTTCAATTAAAGGGTAAAAAAGACGAACGATATTTCACTAAAAGCCTTCGTGCTTTTAATATAGTACAATATATATATATATATATATATATATATATATATATATTAGTCGATTATTTTTAGTTAGAGTGATTGATATGACGATTATTTAAGTTAATTATTCTTGAATAAACTTTAAAAGTGGCTTCAGCTGTCCATAACTATTTTGAGAAAACTATCCAGTTTGGCGTCCCAAAACATTTTGTTACTATTAGCTGAACTCATAAAATACAACAAATATTAGCTCTTAATATTTTTTTTATTATAAAGTTGCTAAGCTTTTAGTTTTTTCACCGCCATAAAAAATTGCATAATATAATAAGGAATTTTTACCTAATTATATTATATTATAAATTTATTTACTCTCACTAGAGGTTTTAACTTAATTATAATTTAATATATAATTTACTAATAATATGTACAAATTAGTTATAAATAAAAATACCTTAATATTAGACATTTAATAGGGAATAACTGATACACGCATCAGTTATCCCCACATAGGTAGCTTATCCCAATCCCCCAACGTAACCAATGACCCAAAATCCTTTTTTGAGAAAACCTATCGTCAACCTCAACCACAACGACAACGCCGACGCCTTTTCCCTCTTTTACTATCAATTTTTCCGATATACATGATTTCTGTTCTTCTTCTCTCTTTTTTTAAAAAACTTGTTTCCTTATTTCTTCTCTTCCTACTGTGAACCCCAAATCTCATGCCAAATTATAAAAAAATCCACCATTAAAACCATTCAAAAAACAGCAACAAATTCTAAAAAAGTCGGCCCAAAATCTTTAATCACCATAGCTTAAGTCGGCGATAGAAAAAAGAATTAGAAGTATAGAAGGGAGGCAGCAAAGAAAGAGGGAGAGAGGAGAGGACATATGAACTAGAGTTGGTTTTAGTTGGCATTCAGATTGAAAGTTGTATACGGCCGAAATCGGGTTCGATTATCACATGACATATCGGACTCGGAACACGAAGGGTTGAAGATCGACCCTGAGTCTTGTCGAACCAGAACACGAGGTCAGAATGTCCGTCCTCAATAACATTAAGTCCATGATCCCGGAATCGACCTTGACCCTGAGTAAGCTCAAGAAAATATTGTCGATGTAATCAACAGAAGACTGGAATAACAGAAGGCCGAAATATCCGTAACCGGTCAGATATCACGGCGGAAATCTCGGCACGTATTGATAGGGAACTAGCAAATCAGCAAACCAGGAGATTTTTACCTTTTATAGAATTGTACCTAAAATAGAACTCCACTACTATATAAAGGGGGTCTGATTACTTGTAAAGGGCATGGTAACACGCATCCAAAAGCAATATATTGTTATTTTTAGTTCTTATTAGTCTCTAGTCATTCCATTCTGATATCGATAAAAACTCTTTCGGCTCAAGGATGGTTAACCTTCCAAGGCTAAGACTGTTCAACTTGGTGGCTAATCTTCCAAGGCTAAGAGTATTCAACTTGTATGGTTTGCATTTACTTTCCCAGTTCTTATTTCAAATTCAATCTAATTTATCGTTTTATATCAAATTAGATCACTTATCCTTAAAACCATGTACAAATTCAATTGTTATCCGATTTTGAGGCTAAACAAAAGTTAAGGAGGAAGAAGAACACACCATATACAAATCACGTACAAAATACATACATAGATATATTGTATGAAAAATATATAAAAATTATATTTAAGTTATATTTTATTGTAGTTGTATTAAAGTCGTAAGCATATTTTATGATTAGTTATATATATGTTGTAAATAAGTTGTATACTATATGATTAATTATATGAAATTTATATTTAATTTGTATGTTACTGTAAATGTATCAAATTTGTATGGTGTTGTTGTATATGTACCAAATTGCATTAAAATTTTATGAAATTTATATTTAATTTGTACGTTGTTGTACAATACATTCTTCTTTTCTTGTTCTATTTGCTAAAGAAGGAAGAATAGAGAATGAATTTCAAATCGGTTCATTTGCATTGATTCATGTTTTTTTAAACAGAAAACTTGGATATTAATCGGAATTGAAATATTTGAGGTGGAATAATTTTGAGTTTCACCATTGAAAGCGCCATCGTCGCACTACTGAGAAATTTGATTTCATTCAAGATCTAACATTTGTGTGAGAAATTAACTAGGTAACATAAATTATTGTTGGAAACACGAATTCAAAGTTGAATTTGAAGTTTGGAGGCGATTGAATCTGAGTTGTTAGGGCCTGAGTCAGAAATTTTGAAGTCGATTTTATGCGAAGAAGATGACTGGGGTTAGGGAATAGGAGGTGCAGAGGAACAGGGAGAGAGGAGAAAGAGAAAGGAAAAAGAAAAAATTGTGTAACTGAATCTCTTAATTGAAGGCACTAATCAAGGTTTAAGAGCTTTTTAAGGGAAAAATATATACACATTGAAAAAAAATCCTAGTTAGCTTTGATAAGTAG